GGCCGCGAGAGCTGTTCGCGGTGCTGACCGCCGACCGCGACTTGGAGCTGTGGTCCAAGGGTGGGAATGTCGCGTATCCGGACGCTGGCCTGGGACAGAGGGACACTTGGTTTCCGCCTTCCCCGTACCTTCCATGGATAGCAAATCCTGATCCATCTTCCAGCAATTCCCCCCACCCGTGCTCTGGCCACACTGCCACGAGGTTTCAGCCTGACCCTCTGCCTGCACCCGGCTCCCCCAGACTTGCCTTGGGCAAGTGGGCGTGGGGAACTGTGCTGGGACTGGGAAGCCCTGAGTGCTTTCCCTCATGTCACCTCCTGGAGCTGTGTTTAACATCCCCTACTCACTGGGGTCCCCTGCCAGGTCACTGTCTCCATGTGGGGAAGAGAACTGTGGAGTGGCTTGGTCGTTCATGGTGGGGAAATTGGGATTGGATGCTCTTGCATTGACACAGGTATTTAATGTCTGCCTTGTGTCGGCTGTCAGTGCAGGGGAGGGGGAGCTGCTTTTGTTCCAGGCAAGGGAGCAGATGCATCTCAGTGTACAGCCAGCTGGGGCTGCACACACGCAGCAAAAACACACGTGCATACAAGCACATGCGCGGACTTCCAGCCAGGCACATGCTGTGCAAAGCAGCGCTTCTTCTTAGCTATCCCACCTCCACTGGATGAACCCTCCTGGGCACAGCCCTGCTCTCAGCCCATCCTTTGTGGCATACCCCTTGTTGGCAGCTTGTGCGGAGGTGCATCTCATCCTTGGTGCATCTCTGGGGAATAATGGGTGGGTCTCCCAGACTGGAACTGGGGGAGTGTGGCAATGGTAGGATGAAGTTGCAGCTGCTTTCTGGAGACCAGGTCTCCCTTGTCAAGGAGGTGCCTGTCCTTCTGCTGCTGGGGCTCCTGGAATTCCTTGGAGATCAAATTGTCAGACAGTTGGGCAGGGAGAAGTGGCCCCAGTGAATGCTATGGGCTTGCAGGAAGTGTCCTGCAGATATGGGGCTGTGCACAGCCATGCGCGCCTATGCGTGTGAGTGTGCACGCCCCCACTTTGCTGTTCACACAGACAGCACCCACATAGGCATATGTGCACACATATGTGCACCATTCCTCCTCTACAAACCATGGGAGAGCTGGAGAGCTATGCAGGAAGTACACTGCTTGCTCCTTCTACTTGAGGCTATAGAGTAGGACTCTGGTTTGTGGTGGCAGGCAGAAAAGCAAGGAATCTATGTCTCTGTGTGAACTGACCTGTTGGGACAGGGTTAGAGCCATGAGGAATGGCCCTTTATTATAGGTAAAATGCAGGGAGCAGGTCCTCACTGAAGAGGACAATGAGTTGAAAGAGATGGGCTGCACCTGGACAGAGCCTGAGCAGCCAGGGTCAAGGGCTCCTCAGGCTCCAGAGGATGAGTGCCCACAGTGCCAGGAACTGGGCTTGAGACAATACTGAATCAGGCACAGTGCAGACTGTACGAGGGCTGGGAGGCACAGCTTACATCAGCCCTGGGGAAACACTGAAATGGCACAACCTCAGTCCCTCCTGCCTCTGGGCTGTCAATGCTGGGGTGTGTTCAGAGGCTGGGAAGGTGGGCCTGGTCTGCAAGGGGCGCTGCATCCCCCAACTCCCCCATCCCTCTGAGAGCGCCTTGTGTCTCCTCTGCAGATGGGCTCTTCGTGACTGACTACTTCACTCGCACACCACGCAAGCTCAGTCCCTTCCGCTCCTTTGCCAGTATCGAGCTCTTCCACTTCCATATCCCTGAGGACACAGTCATTGCTGTCTGGAACCTTATCACTTTCAAGGAGCAGGGTGGCACTTTTGGGGATCAATGTCCAGACCGTAGCATCACCGTGTGAGTAAGCAACTTCCCCTGTCTGTTTCCTTCCTGCCTGCCTCTGCCTGCCCCTGGTGTACCCTGCTTGGACTTGTCCTAGAGCCTACTTGCTCTTGTCTGCTCCTTGCTTGCAGTTGCACATGCACACACACATACGCTAGAGGACTCACACATCCACATGCACAGAGGTACTCATATGCAGGCACAGACGTGTGCACAGATGCATGCACACATACGCATATATGTATATACATGCACACACATGTGCACACACACATGTGTGCTCACTCCCCATGATCCATCTTCCCAGATCATTGCAGGCTCCAATCTTTTGTGGATCTCATACATGAACAGTTTTTGCTTGAACACCCACCCAGCCTCCAGCAAGATCCTAGCTTACAGATGCCTCCCCATGATGTCTTTGAGCTTAATATTACCACAGAGGACAGACCTGCACCTGTAGGCCAGGCTGGCTCTGCCATGATGCCCAGCCTGCACCCTGCTAACTGCTGTCTCTCCTGCAGGTATTTTCGCTCAGGGGCTCCCTCCGTCATTAACCCACTGCACACGCACTTCCCCAGGGACACAGCTGTCCCTGGCTCTTTCGCACTGACCCTGACTTGGACCCTGCCCAACCGCACCACAGGGGTGTTCAATGTCACCAGCCCGCTGCCTGGGGATTGGTTCCTGGCTGCCCACCTGCCCAAAGATGAGGGCAAGATCTCTGTCAAGGTGAAGGGCTTTTGGGGACCGTGGGGTGGCAGGGCTCACTGCAGGGCTCTGCTAGGGTCTGACTGTGCTTGGCTGGCAGTGCCTGGGGTAATGTCCTAGATGTGGACAATGCCCCAGGCCCTCTGCTGCGTGCTGATTGTCTCACTGGTGCAGGGGCTCTATGAGGAGTGCCAGTACCTCTTCCAGCCACAGCTCATTGTGCAACGCCTGGTGAACATTGCTGTGCTGTACCCTGGTTATGCCACTGAGCAGATCATGGCCCCCCACAACCGCTCCTGCCTCTACAAGTGAGTGCGAGAGGCTCTCTCAAGGACGGGACATCCCCAGGGTGGGGAGCTGAGGCTGCCCATCCCTCTGGCTTGCCTCCCCAGCCCTGTTGGTCCATGAAGAGGGGCAGGACCTGACACTACCGTCCCACAGGGTGTTTGTGCCAAGCTACACATCACGAGTGCTGGTGGAGGTGCTACAGTGCCGTGGGGCCGAGAGCTGCCCACTCTGGCTACGTGTGCGGGCAAAGGCTCCCCCCTTGCACAACTCCACAGCGCTGGACTGCCGAGAGCATGCTCCCTGCCAGCTGGAGCTGGACCTGCCCTTCTGGCAGCACTGGTACTATGTTCTGGTGGAGAAACACCCCGGGGTGCCTGGCACTGTGTCCTTCCAGGTCATCGTGCAGCTCACAGGTGAGAGTGCATGGGGAGATATGGGAGGCATGGTCTTGACTCTGCTTGTGTGTCTGGTGGAAGATTAAAGGATGCCTGAAGGATCTGGGCCCAGCTGGGTGCAGGGTGATACCCAGCTCTGCTGGGATGGGAACTCTGAGAGGTGTTGGGGATGGATTGCAGATGGAGGTAAGCAGTGGGCAAGAAGGGGAGGTGGGAGCTAAAAGGCAGCTGGAGGGGCCATGCAGTGCCCAGGCTCATGGCGCTGCCTCCTCCAGATTGCTCCCGACCCAGCCTGGCCCGGCCACCCTTCCTGCCCTCCAGTGCCTCCATGAACATGCCTCACTCCTTCGGCTCCGCGGGTGGGCTGGCACTGGGGGACAGCCCACCACCCAGCAGCCCCAATGGCACGAAGCACTCCGTTCCCATCTCTGCTACTGCACCTGATGGCGAGCGGTGCTGGCCAGTCCGCCCCACGCTGCGCAATGAGCTGGACACCTTCTCTGTCCACTTCTACATCTTCTTTGGGCCTAATGTGTCAGTGCCACCCGACCGTCCTGCTGTCTTCGTCATCAACCTCCTACCAGTGCTGGACAGTGGTGGGGTGCTCAACCTAGAGCTACGGCTCAATGTGGTAAGGTGGCCGTACTGTGTCCTGGATGGGGCAGGGCAGACTGGGGAGGATGGACTGGGAGATGGGTAATGTTGGGACTGCAGCAGGGTGGGGGACAGAATTTGGGGTGCTCTTGGGTCATGATTTGGGAGCTTATGAGTGACAGAGCACAGATTAGAGTTCTCTGAACACAGGATGTTGGCCTGGATTTGGGGTGTTTTTGGGTGATTGGCAGTGGGTTAGGGCACTGCTAGGTGGTGTGCCATGATCTGGGTGCTGTTGGAGCAGGGGACATCCTCGGCACCAATTTAAGGCCTTCTCCTCTGCCATCAGAGCTCCCTGGGTGGTGAGAACGTGACAGTGTTCGGGTGTCTGAACCATGAAGTCCCGCTGACGTCCAGTGACAATGCATCGGTCACCTGCGAGACAGGTAGGCTGGGCTGTGTGCTTCCATCCTGCCATGGCTGTGGGTGTTGCACCCCCCATAAGTCTAGCAAGGGGCTGAGTGGGAGATGGCAGAGACCATGGGGGTATCCGGCCCTGGAGTGCTCTGTCCCTGTCCCAGCTCTACCCAAGGGAAGGGTTTTGCCCCCTGCCCTGCTCACCTGGAGCTCTCCCTGCCTGCAGAGTCCTTGGCAGGCTTCCTGATCTCCGTCAACGCCACAGCCAGCCTCAGCCGCCTGCGGATCCCCTACCCCCAGACAGGCAGCTGGTACCTCAGCCTGCGCTCTCTCTGTGCCACAGAGCACGGGTAAGCACCCTGGCATGTCCCCTCCCTGCGTGCCCACAGGAGATGTGCCTGCCATGACCATGTGCGCTGTGGGCCTGTGTGTGTGCCTGGCACCTGTGCTCAGTGTCACCGCTCACGTGTGTGCACGTGGCTTCGTGGGCTGTGTGTCACCGTGTGAGTGCCTGCGTGGGCACGGATGGCTCTATCTCACGCCTGCCTGACCATCTGTGTGTCCCCGCGACTCTTCCCTCTGTCTCTCAGTTGGGAAGCGCCTGTCAGCCTGTGAACGCCATGCATCTGTTGGTGCCTGCCCGTATCCACGGCAGTGCCCATCTGCACCCATGCCCAGGAGGGGACCAGGCTGTCACTTGCGAGGACAGGGCCGGGTGTGTGGATGCGGGAGCAGCTCTGCTCAGGCTCCTGGGCATGTGCATGGCATGCATGCAGGCAGCACTGGGTGTTCAGTGCATGCATGTGGATGGTTCTGCATGCCTGTGTGTGTGTGTACAGCAGTTGATGTGTGCTGTTGGGACATGGGCCTGTTTGTGCTGCTGTGTGCTGGAGCTGCCGAGGTGCTGGGTGTTCCCAGAGCCCTGTGTGTTGGTGGCAGGTAGCACTGGGGCTGCTGGGCCTGCTCTGACTCCTCTGCTGTGTTTCTGGTTCACTCTGAGGTGCCAGTTGTGGTCAGTCCTTCCTCAATGTGGTCACACGCAGGCATAGCAGGGCACGGTGTTTGCACAGCAAAATCCAAATGAAATAGGAGTCAGCTGAATGTGTTGCTAAAGGCAAAGAGGGCTTAAGCATGGCCATGTTTCTCCTGCTCGCGCAGCCTGGCACAGACTATTGCAGCACACAGGATCCTTGGGGACCGGCTCTCTGCTGCCACATGTAGCACCGAAGCAGCTCATTTCCATGCTCGCCCTGTCCCTGGGTCTCCCATCACCTGCCAAACTGGGGTGTGACTGGTGCCTCTGGTGGAGGCAGGAGCAGCTTGAGGGGTGTAGGGTGAGGGCTGACCCCATTCTCCTGCACCACAGTTTTGAGCCCTGCACCAACGTGACGGCTGAGGTGTACCTGCGTGCCTACAGCGGCATCTATGGCCAATGCAAGCTGCTGCGCACCAACAACTACCTGTATGCTGCCTGCGAGTGCAAAGCTGGTGAGAGCCGCCTTGGGTACCCACTGCACCCAGGGACCCCTGCAGCATCCTCCCCTCCTCCCCAGGGGTTGTGCACCCCATCCCTCCCACCGCAGGAGGGGCGCTTCTCTGATCCCAGCCCCTGTGGGTGCTGTGTGGGTGACCAGGGCTCTCCCTGCTACAGGCTGGAACGGCTGGGGTTGCACAGACAATGCCGAGGCTTTCTCCTATGGCTTCCAGCTCCTCTCCACGCTGCTGCTGTGCCTCAGCAATGTCATGTTTGTGCCTCCCGTGGCCATCGCTATCCGCAGCCACTACCTCCTGGAAGCTGCCATCTACATCTTCACCATGTTCTTCTCCACTGTGAGTGTGGGGTTGGGGCAGCTGGTGGGGAGATGAGGGGCTGGGGCTGTGCAAGGTGGCTCTCACACCCTTTTTCCCCCTGTCCCAGTTTTACCATGCCTGTGACCAGCCAGGTATCGTGGTTTTCTGTATAATGGAGTAC